GTATAAGTCATTATAATCAGTAATTATGTCCCCACTGGATGCAACAAATGCCTCGTTTGTAATGGTTTTTCATGTTTTTGAATCGTCGCTCAGGCCGGACAGGGCATCACAGTATGTTAAGCAAGGAGCGTAACATTTCCGTCACACACTTGAGGTATTCAGCCAACAAAGCTTGCCTACTCTTCTACTACACACTCAAAAGTTTGTACTTTTTCTTCACCAAAAGAGTACATACTTTAAGGGCGTAGTATAAGTAGGCACATTGAGATACAGCATCTCTCTTTTCTTTTTTTTAAATTAGTCTTCCCGATCTGCAAACGCACAGTAACACAAGAGCCAGGATTTATCGCATGAACCAATCACAGCCAAACATAACCAGTCTTATCATATTGCGATGGAGGCATCGTCTCCTCTCACGTGACTTTCCCCCATTCATTCGCAGTTACCCCCCACCAAACTCACTGCACGCTTTAGGGAGTCTGTTAAAACTCAATGGGCTCAGGGGAGGCGAGAGAGGCGCGGACTCCTGCTGGTGTCGCTGTTGGACATTGTTTTTTAGAGAAAAGAGTGATTTATACTAGGGCTGCAAAATATTGGAAAAAACTCACACTGTGATATTTTATTTTTCTGCGATATATATTGCGATATGAAAACAAAAATCACCACATGACTTAAATAGTTTATTTAGAAAAAAAACTAATCAGTGATTGGGGTGATTTTGTAGGCGAGTAAATCAGCATAGGAAATAAACAAATTACAAGCATAGATAAATATAACAGAACAAAGATACAAATTAAATAAGCAGTGCTTTATATTTTTTTCAGGTAAGTCTAACAGTATTCAGGTACAGACATTGAATAATCAAATGTAAAATAACACTGCATAGTCTTCACTGTATAAATCTACTAAATCTGTGTTAAAGCTACAAAAGTGATTTTTCTTTGTGCTTTGTTGTTTGATTAACATTCATACCACAGAAAGCCTCAGGAACATTAAACTGCTGTAAACCAATATACCGTTACACATCCATTTTCTTTCTCAATTGTTTCCCCTTCACCTAAGTCATAAGCAACTGCGTTTACAAGGATACTTGCAGAGCACAGTATTTCAGGCACAAATAGACGCAGAAGTGAACAGAATTCAGTGTTCACGTGCATCTGCGTGGCTCTCACCGTGTCTACTCCGGACACGAGCGGCGCGGAGCGACGCGACAAAATACAATGAACCCATCATTATAATCAGTGATGCTGTCAGTCTACACTGGATGCGGCGCTGCACGACAAATCCCCGACAGTAAACTGATGCCGCGTTCTCTTTATGACGTACTGACACATAGTTCAAATGACTGGCAACGGTCGCTTTGTCGCGTTCAGTGTAGACCATAGACTGTGTATGTAGACAGACTTTGGGGCCGTTCACATGTCGCGCCTAAAAACGCTTGGGAAAACGCCAGTCGCGCCGCTTTCTCCTTCTTTCCAAAGCACTCGGGAGCTTGCACTTTCGTGGCATCTGCCGTTGCTAAGCAACCGTGACCTGCGCTCTCCACGACGACGCGGAAGTGTCAACAAAGGATAAACGGATTTCCAGCACTGAAAATCACGTGCAGTAGCTCTGCTACTAAATGTATTTAAAATGCGTATCTCTGTACAGCTGTCGCGTCCGGTGTAGACACCGTGTCTGTGTGTGAGCAAAGAAAACAATCAGTATAAATATAACGATCAGTAGCCTATAATAAACATCGCACATCCTGTGATGTGATATATCGTGCAGCCCTAATTTATACACTTTGACTTTGTAATGTAATATTTTGTAATATTAGCATTTATTTTTGTACTACAAATTTTTTTCGCATCCAATATTTTGTGAAGGCACTGCCTCCCTTGCCTACTCAGAGGAAACGCCCCTGGTGTGTGTGTGTGTGTGTGTGTGTGTGTGTGTTTATTTTAAATTTGAAATATGTTGTTTTTTGTTTCTATATGTTAATTTTGGGTCCCTCAGAACTTTACTAATATTAACACAATTGTATTATTTTTTATTATTTGTGCACTATTTAAGTTTTGGCCTTTATTCACTGTTGAAATATCTATGGAAAATTTAAAGCACAAGTACATCTGTGTGTATATAGATATAGATATAGATATGTATAGTGTGTGTGTGTTTATTTTAAATATGATGGGTTTTTTTCTATATGTTAATTTTCAGTCCCGTCAGAACGTTACTAATATTAACACAATTATATTATTTTAATTATTTGTGCAGTATTTAACTTTTGGCCTTTATTCACTGTTGAAATATCTCTTAAATAAGTTCTATGGCTGCCCAAAAGACAGGTGTAATCTGATGGTGTTGAAGGACACACTGAAGAAGATGCAGAAGTTTTTTGCTTTAACTGAGACAGGGGAGATTGACCAGAAGACAGTAGAGATCATGAAGAAACCACGATGTGGAGTTCCTGATGTGGCAAATTACAATTTCTTTCACAGGAAGCCCAAGTGGGGACAGAACAACGTTACCTACAGGTGTGTGTTTACCTCAAACAGTGCTGAGCTACTGTATGTCTCCTTACTGTTTGTCAGTCACTTTAACCCTTTAAAAAATTTATATTATTTCCAATCCTGTCAATATCAAATAATCCTTTATATTATACAAAATTTGATATTTTTGTAGTTTAAAAGTGAGAGTTTTGTGGTTACAAAAAGATTTATAAAAAGAAACGGGGACCATATTTGTGTCGGTCATTAAGCCAGTCAAAAACAGAGAGCACAATCAATATATGTTTAAAGAATGTTCTCAGCAGGACCTTTGTGGCTACATTGGAGGTGGAGCTTAAAAAGGAACAACAAATCTGAATTCATTAGGTTATAAAGTTGTGCTGACTACAGGAAATGCAAGAAATGTTTGGCCATGAATGAATATTTACTGTCATTGAAGGAATTGGCCAACAATCAAACACAAAACAAGTGATCAATAGTCTTTTGTAACAAAACGGACAAAGTTGGGATCTTGAGGATATTTACTGGCCTACATGTCCTGACAGTGTTTAGTGAGTCATGACCACAACTGTTGATTTGCCGGTAAAAAGTTGTCAGACCCCATACACAGATCTGTGGAAGAAATGGCTCAGCCTTAGGTTTTCTGCCAGTGTCATCTTTGCTAATTTAACATATATTTAGATTTAGTATTGAGCCTTCTTAGAGAAGTTTATATTAAACCTAGCCCCTCATTAAATGTTAATTAATATTAAACAGCGCAATTGGTTTTCAGTTTCAAGCCTCGGGATGCTCCCTTCAGTATGTGAATATTCAAAATGTTGTGCTGTATTGAGATCACATCTTATTTTTACAACTCCTGTTTTCCAGTTATTTTATCCACTGGAAATGTTTTGGAAACACCAATTTTTAGTGTTTCATCAGTTGAATTGATTGTACATCTATCCCTTGTTGCCTTGTAGAATGCCATTGTCCTTGTAGATTGTGCTGTGGTTTGGCACTAGAAAATAGCATAACATTAGTATTGAATGTGTCTAAGATACATGCTCTAGTAACCGCCACAAGTACAGTTAGCATTTGCTAGTTGGTTTGATAACTGTGCACCTGCAAAGAACATTAAGTGTTTCATTAAGTTTTTTTTTTTTTCATTTAAATATACAACCTAGGCTGCCAAACTATGGTGGGAGCTCTGATGAGCATTCAGCTCCTGTTGTCACTGTACATTGTACAGGCTGTTTCTTTTGTCAGAGGCTAGTAGTATCTCCTGTGTCTTCCAGGGTGGTCAGCATAACAGTGTTTCACCCCATGCTGTTCTGGGACTATTGAAGAGCTTTGGAGATTCTCTTACTGATTATTAGTAGAGAACCTTTTTAGTTTTTTGCACCTGCTAAATTTGTTTGATGTTGCTCCATTTTTCTGTAGGGACCATTTCAGACTGCCTTGTAATGCCAGAACAGGTTTGGATTTGACAGTCCTGGTTTTGGTTTGAAGCGGAGCTCCCTCCTTAGGAGAAAGAAACCAGACCATGCAGGTGATCAGTGTAACCTGCTGTCCTCTGATCGCTGTGTGTGAGTGATCTGTAATAGCGTGATGATGATTTGGATTGAACTGGGAACTTGGACATCCCCATGTCTTTTTGTGATGAAAAAAAAAGAGTTGGTGGCAAACCATTGGCAGGGGAAAAAAAAGAAGCATAGGAAGCATCCAAAGGTTTATTGCATATGGTACTTGAGTTAGACGATGCCATTGCAAAACATGATGACTGATGACTTTTTGCCTGGGCTTATACTCCTAACCGTATGTATTCTTGAGCCACTCAAAGTCATGAGGAAAAACGCAAATGCAGTACCCGCTTATTTACTATAACAATATGACAAATAATTATGTAAATGAGTAACATAGAGATTAAAAAAATTACATAAATAGGGCATAATAAATATTTCTGTATTTTGTTTTCTAGAAAATATAGAATAATCAACTGGAAAGTATAGTTTAAAAAGAAGGCAATATTGTTTTCTTCTTCCACAGGATCTTAGGGCACACCCCAGATCTGGATGAAGAAACAATTGATGATGCCTTCTATGGTGCATTTAAAGTCTGGAGTGATGTCACACCTCTGAAATTCACCAGGATCATGGATGGAGAAGCGGACATCATGATTAACTTTGGCCGAAATGGTATTCAAGAAAATAATTTTGTCTGTGTGTTTCTGTACAATATGTTTCTGTACAAAAGTTTCTAAACTACTGTGGTGTAAATGTACAAACGTCGGATTCATTTTTTTCCTAATCACAGCTCTTACATTTAACTGCTAAGTCACAGACTAACCACAGTCACTCCTTCAAATCTTTAGTATAAAGCTTCCTGCACCAGAGATTGATTTACATTGTGGTCTTTGGAAATACCATAATGACTGCACAAGGCAATTACAAAAAATGCCAACAGTATTCTCACAGTGTAAATCTCTCCTGAGCAGGCTGTAAATGAAAAATTGTGGACAAAATCGATAGAAAATTAAACTATACTTGACACCCCTATTAACTGTGCAATTACCTACCAAAAACACTAACCCTGGTGCATTGGATTAAAACAAATATTTGAGTTAAAGGTGATGCGATTTCAAGTTTTCCTTTCTCTTTGGAGTGTTACAGAGCTTAAAAAGGAACAACAAATCTGAATTCATTAGGTTATAAAGTTGTGCTGACTACAGGAAATGCAAGAAATGTTTGGCCATTAATGAATATTTACTGTCATTGAAGGAATTGGCCGCTAATCAAACACAAAATAAGTGATCAATAGTCTTTTGTAACAAAAAAGACAAAGTTGGGATCTTGAGGATATTTACTGGCCTACATGTCCTGACAGTGTTTAGTGAGTCATGACCACAACTGTTGATTTGCCGGTAAAAAGTTGTCAGACCCCATACACAGATCTGTGGAAGAAATGGCTCAGCCTTAGGTTTTCTGCCAGTGTCATCTTTGCTAATTTAACATATATTTAGATTTAGTATTGAGCCTTCTTAGAGAAGTTTATATTAAACCTAGCCCCTCATTAAATGTTAATTAATATTAAACAGCGCAATTGGTTTTCAGTTTCAAGCCTCGGGATGCTCCCTTCAGTATGTGAATATTCAAAATGTTGTGCTGTATTGAGATCACATCTTATTTTTACAACTCCTGTTTTCCAGTTATTTTATCCACTGGAAATGTTTTGGAAACACCAATTTTTAGTGTTTCATCAGTTGAATTGATTGTACATCTATCCCTTGTTGCCTTGTAGAATGCCATTGTCCTTGTAGATTGTGCTGTGGTTTGGCACTAGAAAATAGCATAACATTAGTATTGAATGTGTCTAAGATACATGCTCTAGTAACCGCCACAAGTACAGTTAGCATTTGCTAGTTGGTTTGATAACTGTGCACCTGCAAAGAACATTAAGTGTTTCATTAAGTTTTTTTTTTTT